CACACAGCTCGTTAGGCTAACTGCTGGGTTGAACCCCTGCCGTTCTTTAAAGCTAGAAAGCAAATATTTTTTCTGCCTTTGTCTAAAATTCTGAACGACTTGTGTAAATAAGTATTTTAAAACATCGTGCTTCTTAAAACCCAGCTGCTCCTTTGGGGAGGCACACCACGGCACTGCTGCAGAAGGGATTTGTTGCCTCTGTTTGTCTTCTTTCTGCCAGTCATTGTTGCTGTGAGAGCACCAGGGCATGGAAGCTTACAACTAGTGAGTTCTTCTTTAGCTACAGATGTTCTGTAGGTGACAGCTATTCTTAAAAATACAGAGACGACATTTCCCAGTCAGGGAAAATATCATTTAACCTAACGCAGAATGTCATTTGTGTTGGCAGAAACAGGAAAGGATACATTTCTGGGTTTCAATGTTTTTAATGGATTTCGTTTAATTTCTGGTCACAGTTGAACACTGAAGTAACTGTACAAGATTAGCTAATAGATTTCTCTGTCTTCTGCCTGTCTGACACAGTAATATGCATAAAGTCCCGTTAAAATCAGTTGAGTTTATATTCCGTTGGTTTTGAAAGACGTCTTTAAAGTGCTCCTGTAAATACACATCGTAAGCACACCTACTTATTTTGTACATCGTAGAGACTCGTATCTATAGAATATCTGCCGTAAGTTGTTTAATAAAATATTACTCTTTCTATAAATAATCGTTCTGAATAGTGCTTTCCAGCATAACAGAGACCGTGCACTCCATAATTTCGCACAACAAAGTGATTCTGCGCTCCCAGGGAAACGGTAAATAATACGGTAGTAAATGATTCTTTGAGGAAAGGATCTGTTGGTTGTGGCAGTGTTGGTCATTACAGTTACTAGAAGGCGTTTAGCTCAGGTCGGTGCTTTGGCTGATACCACCAACACAGTTTGCGTTTCCAAAACTAGTCCGAAAAGCTGCCGAAAGTCTCTTCGTTTTATTTTTTTTTCTTAATTTGACGACTTCGTAAGCGGGCTTCTGCTGCGTTGGCCTGGAGAGCGGAATCTCGGGGTATATACGGCGCTCCCATGGTCGCTGTGATAGCAGCTGGGGTGTTTCACCCCTGGAAGGTGTGGGTTTACAGCTGGGTGGTAAACATACCAAACAGGTAGTGAAAGTTGTGAGTTACATTAATTGGCCTCCGCCTATTTGTGACTGCGTTCTCGTAGGGGAGAACCGGCTCTTTGGTCATTTTCTTTGAAAATAACCCAAAAAAAAAGCCCTTCCAGCTAAGAAGCGCTGTAATTTTTGTTTGCAAACCCCGTTGGAATTCGTGGCGCAGCGTTTGAAACCAGCGTTGTATCCCTCTGCCGTGATGTGCGACATCAGTTTGGTGTTTGGGTCGGTATAAATGCACGGGAATAAAACCCCAGAGCAGCTTTCAAGGCGGTGCCGTTGCGCAGCAGAAAAAATTAGAGCCCTTGAGAGCAAATGCCGGTAGCGTTGGACCGACTGTTCCGGCCCTGCTGGGTGCCGTTGGGGCCGCGATGCCAAAGGGTTAAGCCTGTAGTAAAACCCCAGAAGAATGCGACAGGGGATGGAGAAATGACATGCTGCCTATTGTTTGTGGCTGTAGGATCAAAATAACAATTCCACATGCCAAATAAATTCTAAACCTGTAAAGGAGGGCAAGGG